ACCCATGGAAAGACGAACAATGGGGAGGTGAATTTCATAAGTGCTATCGCGTCAATTCTGAATACGGATGTGATCATATGATGGCGATAATACAAATAAAAGCACACAATTGGTTTGAATCATCTTAGTGCCTGCAACCAAAACCTGATTATAATTTTTTTGTTAATGAACTCTGCCTTAAATCTGTTAATTATTATTAGTATAATAATATTATGTTTGAAAGAAATATTGAAATAATCGAAGAATTCACGCGTAACATCAGAAAATTAATGCAAATGCATATACATCTTCCATTGAATCTGTTAATTCAGGCACAAGCTAATATCATCATCTGTCGAACTGTGCTGCGAGCATGGCTTAAAATTCGAAAATTTTTTGATCGGGAGGAAATTTGCTCGAGGAATTGCTTGAATTTAAGGAAATGTAAAATTTGAAGACTTGTCGTCACAACTAAGAGATTCCCATTTCATTTGTATGGCAATCACGGCCCTTATTATGAGTATCACTTCCTTTTCACTATATATTGTCGCTAAAGTTGTAAACCGATATAACCCACTCGTGACAATCGATTTTATTCTAGTTCTGCATTAAAGCGCATTATTCAACGAATACAGTGCACTAGATACGACATTATGTTGAACGTACAAAACGAAAGTGAAATCGATTGTCGCGAGTGGATTATTTCAGTTTCTAACTCTAGCATGGTGCTCCAAGAAATTTAGTATAAGTATTCGCAGAATTGGTCATGTTTGTAGTCTAGTAAAACATTAATATGCGTATTTCAGGGTGTAAGAAGAGTTAAGAGATAAATTCATTCGAGTATGTGTTAAGGGTTTTCTTAATTTTTTTTTAAATACTTCAAGAATAAGGATTTTGGTACGTTTTTAATTACATTTGTGTAACTTTAATTACATTAATTACAGAAAATTAATTTTTAATTACATTAATTACGTAATCAAATTGAAGTACGTGTTTTAATTACAGTAATTACACTGGCACTGCTTTGATTACGCGAAATTAAATTTAATTACATGAAATACTTAATTTTCATTTTTAATTACTTAATTACATAGTTAAACACCTTGTACTTTAAATCGAACGCAGTCAAGAAGGCTATTGCGTGCCCCTCGGAGTCGGCTTCTAAAACTGTTCACAATTGTCTCCAACCTGCTTATATATCGATTTAAACCACCATTTAGGATCTAATACGAAATAATTCACTAGGATGGTCCAATTATTCTTCATTAGGGTGGTCCAAAAATTCAAAAATATATGAAAAACCACAACTTTTCACCAGAAATTCCTAAAATCAATTTTAAAAATATCTTGAATTTCGTTAATCTGTTTTTTTTTTGGAATCCTTAGTTTTACACAAAAGGAACATTTGCCTGAAAAGATGAAAAAATACTTGTTTTATACTTTGTCATATATTTCCTTATTAGCTACACCAAATCAGATTTCCTGGTACTCTTTTAATTTTTTCGATGATCTTCAACTAATTTTAAAATGCACTGCTTTTGATCTTCATCCGTTGATAGTTTTGACTTGCATGTTTTAATCAATGCTATACCACGCTCTGCATTATCATTAACTACTTCCAAACATTGAACCCGTCTTTTGGCATTTTTAAACTCGATGGAACTACTCCACTGCTCCATATCGACATTCAGCAACGACTTCGGAATTTGGAGAGCTTTGAATAAGTTTTCAATACCACTGCTGCCTTGTACAAACGAGTGTAGTTTAATCGTTGAAATATCGTTGGATTCAACAATGGATGTGGCTGTAATGTTTTTATGAGTATCTGTAAAAAAAAAAATCATTAGAAAATTAAATGCAAATGTATCAATTAAAGCATTTACCTGATAGAAGTAAGGCTTCGATGACCTTTTTCTTAACCGGGAGGTCTACATTTTCGTCGTACAGACATAGTCCGATAAGGCTGTTGTCCAAATATTGCAAGTGAGTTAAAATTCCTTTATGTACTGCTTTCGCAACGTTTCATAATCCTTCAATATTTTTAACAGGTTCAGATCGTTGTTGGGTGCCATCGCAGCACATGGAGAAAGAAACCAACTTTTCAAATAAATTTTTACAATGAACACACAAAATCGAGCTAGTTGATTTTTAGTTTTATCTGGTAAAGCAAATTCATGCCGAAGAATAAACATTTTCAAAGAATAAATGATTTTGGCCATCGACCTTGCATTGTGGAACGCACCAGGAGCACTTATTTGTAATTTTTCATCGATTTTTCCACCCAAATATAAAATGGCAAGTTGTAGAACCTCTCGGTAATCACCACGGTGGTGTTGCACTCTAATTTGTTTTTCATAAAACTCCAATGACGCCAATCTTTCTATTTCCGAAATAGTTATTTTAAAAAAAAATCATCATCCATACCTGAGTGGTATGAAGTCTTTTCCAAAATGTGCCATTTTGATTGGAATTCCTTAAAAATCTCAACATTTGGAGGCTTTGATGTTTCAAATTTCAGAATTTTAAAAGCTTTGCCAAGTAGCAGTTCATGTATGTGGTGTCTGCAAGGGAGGTTATAAGCTGCCTCTTAAACAATTTGTCCAGGTACTGACACGTATCTTTTTTCTACCGGTGTTTGATGCAGTAGTATCAAAAAATGTAAACATAATTCTGAAAACAAACGATAAAATAATCAGAATTTTGAGGTGAACATACAAGATTTAAGATCATACCTGTCCGCAAGCCCCCATTCGACGACTGCATTGTACACCGCTTCTGCTTGTTGTGCCCCCGTAGAGTTTTCGATGGGTGGAACAGCCAATAATTTTCTAATGCCTTCACCTGATACAACTATGGCCAAGCGCTCGGTTTTTGGTAGAGCTTTGGATGGTAATATGTTAGGTAGCAGCTGAGAATCCCAATGTACTGTTAAATTTATATCTGGCTTAAACGACGCTTTTAAATAATGTTGCATTTGTAAGCGAATTCCTGCTCTGGCGATTCTGACAGATTCCTTGTTCAACAATAATGATGAAACATCGTGCCCTAAAGCTTTAGCGATCGATGATATTAGAAACACAGCATTTTGATCACTCACTTTACAGCGGTCCAATGCAGCAGCTACCTCAACTGTAACAACTCGTATCAGTTGCGATTTACGTGTCAAAGCTGGTTTTGGAGAACCTAGAACGGTCAAAATGTATTAATATGGATGGTAATAGGTGTATAATCTAAAAGAAAAAAAAAAACATTAGTAAAACATCACAACGTACCTGTTTTTGGAGAAGCTCTTTCGGATATACTAGGCAAGTACACTGACCCAGCCTGGCTGTCGTTTTGTGATGATGTTTCAATTGAGGTTGCATTACAAATTTGATCTGGTCTATGGCTATATCAGAGGTACTAGTTATTTCAAATTTAACTTCTTTTCTGATTTATACACAAATTTTAGTATCAGGGGCGCAAGTATTGTATTTTTGAAATTTTTCTTTTCTGGTTGGATATTTCTCTCATATATACGTTTACAATTTTTTTTCTCTGTATTTGATTATTTTGTAAACTTTCCGGTTTAGAGCTAAGAAGTCGTAGACTATCTGCAACTACCCACAACCACAGCACTGCCAGTACCGCAGTCGATATGTCTGTCATATGTACAGTTGTGTTCGATAAAATAGCAGCGCATGCCGATTTTTATACAAAATGGTCAACTTGGACATGATGTAACTTTGTTAACTTAAGATAAATTTAGCTGAAAAGTTCGCCTAAAAGCTACAAATATGTTCAATTTTACGATTAAAAAATATTCAATTTTTGGAAGCACCTGACGGAAAGTGAGACACCAGGTAATTGTTCAAAATAATAGCAGTACTAATAATTATCATTTCAGCTTAATTTTGAGACTTTAAATTTTACAATTCTCAAAATTCTAACAATCCCCACCCACAATGTCAAAATTGACCATTTTGTATGAAAATCGGCATGCGCTGCTATTTTATCGAATACAGCTGTACTATGTTCGATTCCCGGTTCAGTCTAGGAATTTTTTGGGTTGGAAAATTTCTCGACTTTCTCGGGCATGTAGTATGATTGTTCTTGCCACACACTCATACAGGCATCAAAAGGTCTCAATTAATACCTGTGGAAGTTCAGCTGGCAGCTTTAAACCGAATTTTAACAATGCTGATTGTTTGTGACTAAAATGAAAAGTATAGACTTATAGTAGTTACCTCATCCGGTTTGTGACAATTGGCTACTAGGATTCAGCCGTATCAGCATCATCTCAGCACAGCAAAAAAGTACATAACGTCGCACTATTCAACAAGGAAATTGCTGGAACCAATGTTTTCCCGATATCAATAAGGAAACTAAATCAGGTCAGCTACTCCAGACATTTTTTTTTTGACGTTGGACTACGTCTTTGATTTCTATATGGGGGTACACTTTGTGAAAACTGAAAATGGAACATGTAACAAATTATGAAAGATTTTGAACGTTAATAACTCAGCTGCCCCTGAACCAATTTCAATAATGTTATCACCAATCGATCAGACCTACGCTAACGCATCGATATAAATGCTTTTGACTGTTTATGTTCAACAAGAAACTATTGAAAAAAGTAGCAAATGTCAAGCATTGTCCAAAAGCGTCGAAATAATTAACAAATCCACCAATTACGTACATGCATATTGTTGCCGATGCAACTAAGGTTAGAATAAAAAATACTTCTTTTTAGCGTAGATTTCACTCGCTTTAAGCTGCAAATATTTATTATTTTAAGTAGATTTTAAGTAGGAATATCTATATTTAACTTACGTTTAGTGTTTAAGCAAATTTTAATAGTTTTAAGCAAGAAAATATAATAGTTTTATCGAATACAATGCAATTGAGATCCACGTTTCACAAAATATCTTCACCTTTTGATTTCATGTCATCTTCGACGAATGACAGTTGCGCTGACGGCTGTAGCGATGACAAGCAGCGGTAGGGCTACCAGATTCCTCGCCCGTCCGTCCGTTACGAGTTCAAGGGGACTGCGGATGGCTCGTAGCAGTACCGAAATTCCCCGGCCCGTAAGGTTGAGTTTGGTCCGGTCCACTAGCCTCGACCTTACCATCTTCAGCTACCTCGATGACGGCGAGCTTCACTGCCGGACGTTGGATGACTCCCGCTTCCGTACGAACCAGGGCCTGTCTGATAACACTACGAATAACCTCGACGATCTGACCTCGAATCCAGGTATTTCTCTTGTTCTCGTTGACAACGAAAACCAAGTCACCCACTTCAATTGGTTTAGTGTCTCGGAACCATTTGGTTCGCCTGACAATCGTTGGAAGGTATTCGCGCAACCATCTTTTCCAAAATCTATCCAAAATGTGTTGTGCCAGGTTTCAGCTGCTGCGTAGACAATCGGTGGCCTTCGTAGGTTCCTTAGGCAGCTGCTTAACTCCATTTGAGCTACCCAAAAGAAAATGATTGGGTGTCAGCGCTTCTTGGCCGGCGTTGTCCAGCGAGATGTATGTCAAAGGTCTTGAGTTGATCATACTCTCGGCCTCTAGGATGATTGTCTCGAAGGTTTCATCGTCGGGTACTCTTGGTGCGAAGGCTATTGTTTCTATAGCGACCTTGACCGATCGCACAAGTCGTTCCCACACCCTACCCATGTGTGGTGCGGCTGGAGGATTAAAATACCATTTGGTCGTGGTATTGGTGAAGGTTTCGGCGCACTGCTGGATTTGGTCTTGTAGCTCATTCGCGGCACCGTGGAAGTTGGTGCCCTTATCAGAGTATATCTTGGATGGGGCACCTCTTCTAGCAATGAATCTACGGATGCACATCTTGCAGGACATCGAAGACAAGCTATGTGCCACCTCCAAATGTATCGCTCGAGTTGTCAGGCACGTGAACAAGGCAACCCATCTCTTAGCGTGTTTGCGACCAACTTTGACTGTCACTGGCCCGTAGTAGTCCAGCCCGGTGTAGGTGAACGGACGAAGAATTGCTTCCAGCCTGGCTTGCGGTAGTGGGCCTATCTTCGGCGAACCCAGCGATGCGTTGTAAACCTTGCACATCTGACATCTAGCGGTGACTTTGCGGATCAGGTTTCGTAGACCTGGAATGTAGACCAGTTGACGAAGCCCATTGACTACCGTCTCCTGGTTACGGTGGTGACATCGACGGTGGTAGAAATCTACGAAGAGAAAGGTTACTGGATGGTTCGGAGCTAGTATAACGGGAAAGCTTATAATTTATACAACGGGCTCGATACCGGTACCGCCCCCGAAGGCTTTGTAGAATGTCGACTCTGCAACACAGCTAACTCCTCAGGAAACGTCTCCAGCTGAACCATCTTCCACAGCTTCACTTCCGCTTTGCACAGAAGTACTGAATTTATCGGTGTTTCCAACGACGTATCTTCGCTCATCACTCCTCCGAATTTGAGAACGTACGCTACCGTTCGCTGCAGCTTTTCCCATCTCGAAAAACGTTTCACATCGATCACAGGCTCTATTTTCACCCGTCGGTTAACAAGTACCGGGCGAAGTTCTTCTGCTGCATCTGTTCTTTTCCAATTTTGTTCTGGCCAAAACTCCTCTGGACCCCATAGGAACTGTGGTCCTTGATACCATGGATCTTCAGGATCAAAGCACGGCCCGTTGCCCCACTTCGTTGCCTTATCCGCTACATTCTGCATCGTTGGTACTTTCTTCCATTCGCTTGGGTTGGTCGATGTCAAAATCTCTCCAATTCTGCAAGCAACGTACGGTCGATACCTGCGGGAATCGGAGTTGATCCAATGAAGGACCGTTGATGAATCGGTCCAGTAGAACCGTTGATGAATAGGAAGCTGATGATTCTCCAAAATCGACTGTGCTAGCCGGGTTCCCAGGATGGTAGCTTGCAATTCTAGCCTTGGGATTGATAGTGTTTTGATTGGAGTGACCTTGGCTTTCGCTCCTATCAGCGTACAATGCGGCTGACCAGCTTAGATAAAGCAAATATACACTACGCAGGCGTATGCAGTGCTGCTTCCATCGACGAACGTGTGAAGTTGCAGTGGCTGGCAGTCTTCTGGAACAGCGTCTTCAAATTACGACCTTGGAATACGGACATCGTTCAGCTTTGGCAACAAGTTTATCCAACGCTTCCAATCTCCGAGAATCCCGTCATCTATCAAGTCATCCCAGTCACAGTTGGCTCGCCACAAGTCTTGAATGATGATTTTCCCTTGAATCACGTACGTGGCGAGAAATCCAAGTGGGTCGTACAGACTCATAACCGTCTTCAAGATCTGGCGCTTCGTAGGACGAACTGAACCGTCTAACAAACCCTCCTCTGTACCAGGCATGTAAGCGGAGAAGGTCAGTTCATCTGATTGTGGTAACCAGCGGATACCCAGGACAGATTCTGCAACGTTAGACTCCTCTGAATTCCACATCTTCTCCTTCGCAGCATTTCTTTCTCCAAGTCCTTTTCCACCTGATCGTGGACTCGCTTAGCCAGTTCTGAAACCTTTTGAGTCAGTCAGTCTGCTTACAGCCATAGGATAGCTGTTGGGGAAGTGGACCTCATCACATCTCCAAAGCAGGCCAGTTTCGAATCCACGTGGTACACGTCGAGTTGTTGATTCGAGAATTTGCCTGGCCCTTTTGTCTTCTGCCGTTTCAAGCTCAGTAGTTAATGGAGTTACACCGAGACTGTCCGTCAGGAAGTACTGCTTTACCAAGTCATGCAACTGACGATCTTCAGTCATACGGCTGACGAGGAAAACTCCTCGGAAATCGTCTGGTTTGGTAGATGCTCCTCCGTAGACGCACCACCCTAACCTTGTCTTAGTGGCGATTGGTTGACCACGTGCTCCTTCACGAATCTTCAGCGAAGTGGACAAGTAGAGGTTTTCCAGGCCGTTCAGTAGCTGCGGATGAGCTTCATCGTATCCACCAATATTCAAACCTTTGAGGTACGGAAAGTTATTGATTAGTTCATCCGGGTTGATCGACTGAACAGGAAGTTCTAACTCTTCTACGGTACGTGCGTTGACCACGTTGAATCGTCGTTTCTTTCGCTTTCCGGAAATCTCCAGCTTCACCACGCAAGACTGTTCCTCTACTCGGGACACATTTCTGGTCCAGCGAAGGTGCAATGGATCTGGTGAACCCTTGAGACCCAGTTTGTCAGCCAAACTCTTCTCGATTTTCGTTACCTCGGAAGCCTCGTCGAGTAACGCAAATGTGTTAATGAAACCAGAAGCACCATGCATCGTAACAGGGATAATGCGATATATTACGGTCTAACTGACGGAGTGGAAATTCTGTGAGCTAGCTGCTAATTTCGACTGTGAAGGGAAAGAGTGGAGCAAGGGATGGTGACGTAGTCGACACCCGTCGATCGTACAATCCTTGGGTCACCGACAGGGATAAGGAAGGTGATTCCTCATACAGGATCTGCACAAATTGTGCTGCCGCACCATCTTCCAACGTTCATCAGAATTCAATGCTTTGAACTTACCGCAACTATCCACTCCATGGCCTACTCTGCTCCAGATCGGACATACCTTTTCCGATGGTGTTTGCACGAGTATCGCTGTGGTGATTGACGAATCCTCGAGCCTTCGCATTCCCGCTTTTCTTCGTTTCATCTTTCGGTGCCTTTGCCAAAGTCGCTGGTCGATACGTTGTTACCTCGCTTGCTTTCTGTACTATATCCGCCATAAACTGCCCGAAGGTGTCCAGACTAACTACCGGTACAGAATCCTCGAAGTCCACCCACTTGAGCTTGATCTCCGACGGAAAAGCTCATGCAGCAACGATGGATTGCCCAAATGTGCTTGAAGATTCGCTGCAACTAGGTGTTCGCAATAGTCCTGCACCGCCATCCCATAAGCGATAAGTGTGTCTAACCTTCCTTCCTTCGGGGATTGCGTATTTCGGATCTTGGCCAATAGCGAGTTGATCAGCACCTCTGGCCTGCCAAAGAGCATTCGCAGGGTGTCAATTACACGCGGGACCGCAGCAGGAAGTAGAAGCCGACTCCGTACTGCTTCTAGTGCATCGCCTATCAAACAGCGCTGTAGGTGGATAAGATTTTCTGCGTTGGAATACCCGCATTCTGCAGTAGAGTTTTCATAGTTGCTAATGAAAACTGGCCAGTCCTCCGCGTTTCCGGAGAAGCTGTGCAAATCCTTTGGCAAAACCTGGCGAGCTGCCAGTTGTGAGTTCGTCAGGCCGAATGCTCTGCGATTGGGTTGCGTAGGTGCCCGTAATTGGTCTGGGCGTGTTCCTTCCCTAGGGGCATTCGAACCTGGATTTGGATGATTTTTTTCGGGAATCCTGGGTAGACCCGGTGGCCTGTTGCGTGGAATATCAGGCTGTCTCTGGTCACGATGGTCAGAGGGCCCCGGCCCGTCATCCCGGATATGCGGACGCTGTCCTCGGTCCTTGGAGGTTCTGTCAGGAACAGGATCTTCATTCACTTTGCTGCTCGCTTTTGGTTTCGTCCCGGTGTACAGTTCCTTACCGGATTTTCCCATCGGTAGGGGAACTGGAAGTACCTCCGGTGCGTTGGAGTTTTCCTTTTCGAGGTTGTCCACCCAGTCTTTTACCCTTTGCGCGCGTTTTGTGTTTTTCAGCAAAACCCATCTGCTCCAACTTCTTCCGGATCTCTTCACGGCGTTTCTCCTCTTCAATCCGCATCCTGTACAGGCATTCCCGTTCTGCGTTTTTGGCATTCTGTGCACGATCGATTTTTCGACGATCTTCTTGGTTCCTCTGCTGGTGATCTGGAAGGGCTTTTGCTCCATCAGACGATTGATCGAAACTAATGCTGCTCATTGAGCTACATCTACCGACTGATCCTTCCAGTTGGGCGTTCAAAATCCGATACTTTTCGGCGAGATACTTCTCCTCCAGCTTCCGGAGCAATTCAGAACGGGATTTTTCATCGTCCAGTTTCTTCTTCGCTAGTGCTTGCTCCTGCTCCTGCTGCCGACGTTCGTTTTCCAGCCGCTTTCGCTCCAGTTTTGCCTCCCTTTTGCGCTGCAGCCTTTCTTGTTCTTGCTGATGACATTCTTCGTCCAAACGACGGCGTTCGAGTTCCGCCTCCATCTCACGTTGCAGCTTCTCCTGCTCGATGCGGGCTTTCTCCAATTCCGCCTCTTGCTTTCGACGCTCTTCCTCCTCAAGAACCCGCTGCAACTCCAATCGCTCCAATCCTGCAATTCCAAAGCGGCTCTTGCTGCACGGGCTGATGCACTGGTGCTTACCGTGATCGAAGAACGACGTGAGGAAACGGGATTCTTTTGTCGACCAACCGGTGTACTGGTCGCAAGCAGTTTACTGCAACCTGGACAGGTCCAAGAACGATCCGCTACTGAATCTCCTACATGCACACACTTGTAGTGATACCACATATCGCATAAATCGCATGCGACCATACTTTCGTCCTCCGGATCTTCACACAGGCCACATCGCACTGCTGGAGCGGAAGCCTTCGTCTTCGGCATCTTGGCCGGATCGTTCGGAAACCACCGAAATTCACTATATTCCGTAAACCTTAAAGAATGTTGCCGATGCAACTAAGGTTAGAATAAAAAACACTTCTTTTTAGCGTAGATTTCACTCGCTTTAAGCTGCAAATATTTATTATTTTAAGTAGATTTTAAGTAGGAATATCTATATTTAACTTACGTTTAGTGTTTAAGCAAATTTTAATAGTTTTAAGCAAGAAAATATAATAGTTTTATCGAATACAATGCAATTGAGATCCACGTTTCACAAAATATCTTCACCTTTTGATTTCATGTAATCTTCGACGAATGACAGTTGCGCTGACGGCTGTAGCGATGACAAGCAGTGGTAGGGCTACCAGATTCCTCGCTCGTCCGTCCGTTACGAGTTCAAGGGGACTGCGGATGGCTCGTAGCAGTACCAACACATATGCTGCCTCCCCAGCACAGTCGTCAGAGAGTAGTAAGTAGACGAAACATGTCGATATAGCATTACGACGAGGTTCGGTAGTTCAGTGGTTACCGTTTCTGCTTACTGAGCAGAAGGTAGGGAGTTTAATCCCCCCCCCCCCCTGTAATGTTTCACTTTGCCTTATTCTATCCCCACTAGATTTAAATAAAGAACAAATTCTGCTTTAACCGATCGCATAACTTACCACAGTGAATCCTAATCTATAAATAACCTACCTCACCGGTCTCTAGTAACAACCGGACGTCGAAATAATCATCCTTTCCTCCCCAAAAGACCGGAAGAACGTGGCTGGCGCTGTGAATTGATCTATAGAATGAATTAATGTGCTTGTATATTGAAGATGGAAAGCTTATCCCATGCACCCATCTATGTAGTTCTCTGTGCAAGTGGATTAGTTGTGATCATATTGTGGATGATAGAAGCCCAAGTAACAATTTTGGTTTTATGAGGGTTCTGTAGACCATGATTTAGACTTGTAGCATGCTTTAAAACCTCGATAAAACTTGCAATGTTACTTGGGAGAGCATAGCAGAAATAGTGCGAAATAGGAAGCTATGGTCATCACAAAAGAGGAAATCGAAAAAGCGAATTGGCTTTTACCCCTTTGCTTGAGTCATCGTCATAGCATCGCATCGCTTTTGGTTCTAGGGCACTTGCTGGTTGCAATTTTTAGATCAGGATTCACTGTGATTCGATCAGTTGTAAGCAGCAGAAATTTCCTTCCCAACTCTCTTGTGGAATCTTTTAGTGGCTCTGAAAAGGGCCGGTTTTGATAGATTTCGACGGAAAAATTAAGAGCGTTCACCACAAATACGAAGAGCCAGCTGAATGTCCTTTGGCATAATTGTGACACGCTTGGCGTGAATGGCGAACAGACTGACCAGATAGGTCGGTTTATTTCACTCATCGAGGGTATACTTATACCTGAGTCGAGTAGCATCTTATTAATACAGGGAGGGTACAATACATACAGTGGGAAGCAAAATACTGAAAAGGGGAGGAGTTTCGCTTGCTACGGGCACACAACGAGACACCACCGTCGAGACGACTATCAGTTTTTCTCTACCGAAGCGAACAGCTAAATTAAGGCACCGAAAACCAGTGGAAAGGCCGCCAAGAAGTCCGGAAAGGCGCAGAAAGTCATCTTCAAGGGAGAGAAGAAGAAGAGGAGAGAGCGCAGGAAAGAAAGCTATGCCATCTACATCTACAAGGTGTTGAAGCAGGTCCACCCGGACACCGGAGTCTCGTCGAAGGCCATGAGCATCATGAACAGCTTCGTCAATGACATCTTCGAACGTATTGCTGCTGAGTCCCGCGAAATCCAAACTGCTGTCCATCTGCTGCTGCCGGGTGAGTTGGTCAAGCACGCTGTCTCTGAAGGAACCAAGGCCGTTACCAAGTACACTAGCTCCAAGTGAACACAAGGCTTTGACATATATTAATTATATCTTTGTTCGTCTCAGGTGACACCTTCAAGTGCCTAAAATGCCAAGCTACGTAATCTAATGACGCTCACACTCACGTTTCCACTATGTCGCACCATAAAAATACATATGGGTATGTCACAATAGAAGCACACCACAGTGGAAATCCCGAGTTCAACACTTATCCCAAATCAAAATGAAGCACATATAAGATTAGTTACAATACCATGTACAAAAATGATGTTTAGCATTGTTCTCTGAGTAATACTTCAATGAAAACAACAATGAAAGCTTGTCACGCAAGTAGAAGGAGCACTGTTGGGCACTTACTGAAATATTTCAATAGTATGATTCCCTTGCAAAACCCAAATAAATCTATCTGCGTAAAAATAAATAAAATAAGAGTGATTTGCGGCAAAACCCGCCAGTATCACACCCAACGTCAGTGCCTATACGTAAGCGTACTACGGCGTGGCTCTCAATTAAAGGAGTAACTAGTGTGATACTATCACTGCTAGACTAGATCTTTGGTTCTCTCATGCAGTGATTTATCGAACAGGGGAAGCTTAGTAATCTCCATTGCCTGCCCATGGCACCATTTTATCGCAGCATGAGCCAGCAACGCCGGCCATAAACCTACCGTCTCCAACACTTCACTAAAAAGCATGAAATTAAGCCCGCCCACCAGCAACAAGGTGCAAAAACTAGCCAAGGGAAGGGGTCAGCTACTCCAGACAAAAATTGAAGGATATTTCAAAAGGTACAAGGAAAAATAAAATAAGCTTTCCAGAGCAAGAAGACAAAATATCCATGTGTAGAAGTAAAGCCTTGTACCACGGGTTGAATAATCAGCTGAAAGAGACATTTTTCGATACTGAATTTACAATGCCTGAACAACTTCAAATATTAACAGTGTTGCCAAAATCATGACACATTAAAAAGATGCTTGATGAATTTGGTATTAATAAGTATATGGTAGTGCAAGCCAAAAAAGTAAATAACAGATGAAAAAGGGATATTGTCCACTGTGTTCAGCAAAATTATTAACCATCCATCCGACCATCTAAAACACATTATTGAAAGATTTTATCAATATTTTCCTTGGATATTAAAAAAAAAAATGTTTATTCATCACTTGATAGGAAAATAGATGACATTGAAATACAATTAAAACCCAAATCAATCAGAGCTATTTGTTTTATTCACTTGAAAAAATACCGCCTATTTTTCTTTGATTGGACGCTACTGCTCTTGGGTTAGTTACAGCCAACTCTCACTTACTCTATATTATCTCTTACTGGAAATCCAGCGACCACATTGATCATACAAATTTCCTAGCTTTAGCTTCGTAATTCGATGACCTCCCTATCTCGATTGTGACTTTAATACAAAGAAGTACAGTAATCTCTCCATATATGCGGTGGGTGCTACCGCCCACCCATCGCTGTTTCTCGGCTGTTCATCAACCAAGTACGGTGATTTTTTATATGTGATTAACGTCAACCATAAAATAGTTAGAGCATAGCATAAGCGATTGCTGCATTCATGGGGGGCTATATAATGGTCAACCAATACATTTTGCAGAAAATATTGTGTGTTGCCGTGAAAAAACACTTGCGACTATTGTTTTATCACACACATCAAAATTTGCAAATCATGCATCGCATTATGATCCTGGCCACATCCTTACAATCGCAGGGGATAGGAAGGAAAATTAGTCCAACATTTACTTAAGAAGGTGCAGGGAATAATTATTCATAATGAATTAATCATACTACCTTCATAGATGCCACGGGAGTAGCATTGGGTGATCTTGAGGCATCTTAGTGAATCGATTTTTTTTAAATAATCGATTCACCAATTTAATCAATCATTTTGAATCGATCTTTTTGAATCGATCTTTTTGAATTGATCTTTTGAATCGATTCATTTTTCAAAATAACACATGTTTCAAATATAACGGATCATAGGAAAGTTGCTGCAGATCAGGGTTACTTCCACTCACTTGCTATAAAAAAATGTTTTTCCGAATTATGAAAACATTAGATGTTATAATGGTAATTAGTACTTATAAGTTACAAAAAGAAGTTGTGAAGTATGTAGTTGACACATAAAACCTGTCAATATTGCTTTCAGTGCGTCACAATCAGCGATTTAACGATTCGTGAGCGCTCACTCTGAGCGTCAAATTTTACATAAATTTGAGTCATAATAGACACGAAATTCAGCTCAACCAAACTTACTTTCGAACTCTCGAAGGTATTTCTAAGTGTGTAAGCTATCTTGTTATGACATTTCACTTGTAAATAAATAAATAATAGATATTAAATATTTCGTGAACATAATTAAAAACTTCAAACATCATTAAGAACAATAATCCTTTCTGGTGCATTGAGCGAACAGTAATGTTTATTTACTTTGCTCGTTTGGTTCAGCGTTTGACGGTTTGTTTGGTTCTTCTTGCTTCAGTCTATGCGTGCATCTATTTAACGTCTCTGGTTCTTGCCTACTGAACTGTCTCACTGGTTGTTTGCAGAAAATTATCTACTAAATATAAGCCTGTCTTTCCATGTTTTCGAAGCTGTTTCATGCATCATCTTTGCCACTACTCTCCAGCACGCGTTTTTTTTTCACACCGAAGCATTGAGACTATTCACCACTCTTTCGCCTGCGTTGATGTATTAGAAGCAAACCGCAGGATTCACAGAAGAATGCGCAGACCCTCCAGTGTTTGGAGTACATCTGATCACCAACACCATTATAGAACGATTAGAAAACCCAACACCACCAACGCAGACATCGAACGCTTCACTATGCCACAAATGTATGGTCCGGGAGCACACACGAAAACAAGTACGGAGATAGCGATATCTCTTCTGGATGCTTGCAAACACGATGAAATCGAGAAAACCTCCACATTCACATACGTATAACCGTCCGGGAGGCAGAGGACCAGCGATAATCAGTCAAGAACAGCCGAAAACGATCAAAGCGAACGCACGCACAAAACAGAGAGCACACTTAAAACAGAACCGTATCGGACGGGTTTTGAAACTCAAATCTAACGTCAACCATAAAATAGTAAGCTACACAAAATGCACTCAACCGCCCGAAAAAAAAAATACAAGGATTTTTACTGTTGAATTTTGTGTACATTAAAATTTATTGTTAAATTATTGTAAAGGAATAAATAAATTTCGTTTTTAACGATACAATGCTCAAACAATGAAAACTAATGTGAAGAGATCAAATTTCTTCGAGAAAAATCAGTTTCATTTTATTGTCCCCCCCCCCCCCTTTCTACTGTAAATTTCTCATATACCATGATTTTCATTTTTGTGAACCATAAATTTCGTGTGATTTTAAGGTAATCAACAAAAATGTCCAATGATAGTAAATATCATGGTTAGAACGACAATGAAGATCATTATAGTTTTACTAGATTTCTTTTACGGGTGGTTGAAGTACAGCCGAAAAATAGCGTTGGATGGGCAGTACCGCCCACCGCATAAATGGAGGGATTACTATGTGTTTAATGAACTATGGTTGGAGGGGGAGGGCTAGGCTCGCTCATGCACTTCTTTTAAGCGAACCCCACACATATCAAAATATTTATGGGAAGTGGAATTATTGACAATAATATTGATGATGTGAATACAGAAATCTCGATTACTTTTTCGAAGGGACGTATCAGCTTTTGTAAACAATGCATTTGATCGTCGATTTGTAGGGGAAATTTTCCCCTACATGATAGTGGTGTTAGTATGCGTGGGCGAGCTACCAGTTACGCCAAATCGACGATCAAATGCATTATTTACAAAAGCTGATACGGCCCTTCTAAAAAGTAATCGAGAAATGTTGTCAATATCGATGTATTGACGACAATATTGAACGTATTGACAATAAGATTATTGCCAATAAAAGCAATCGTGTAGGGTCCTTTTTAATCTCAGAGCTAGCTGGAGTAGCTGATCGTCTCTCCACTTACGTTTCACGACCAGTCAACGATCTCGACACCTTAGGGCAGCTTGAGCGTCTGCACGCCGTTGTACATCCCATTCCAGAGCGTTGGGAATATTGTGAAACTCCCGCCGTGATCATAATCGATCTGTGTCCCTGTCTGTCTCGTAGACCAGAACCCAGTTCTGGAAATAACTCCTCTGAATCCTGTATAGGTCGTCAGGGACCCTAACTCTGTGTAGCACTTCGGTGATGGCTTCCCAACTAACGCCAATCAAAGCGTTCTTGACGTTTGTCGTTATTAGAGTGCAATTTTCCATTAGATTCTGTTTGTACTCTCGATCACTGTGCGGGTTGCATGCACCGTAGATCTCCCATTACAGCTTCCGAACTGCGTCTGCGACAATCCATCCCTAGCAGCACACTTGTCACTGAACAGTTGTGGTAACTTGTTTCTAATTTATTTCAGTCACAATCAAGTTGGAGCAACTTATTATAACGGATGTATGTTGATTGCGACGCTTACTCTCCGTAAATGTCGTTAGTCTGATGAGGATGATTATCTCCAAGAGTTTTCCGGTACATCCAGCAGGCATATAACAAAGGCAGGTTTGCTTATACTCACTTGCTAAAAAAATGTTTTTCGGAATTATGAAATCATTAGATGTTATAATGACATTTTGTACTTGAAAGTTACAAAAAGAGTTTGTAAAGTATGCGGAAGGAGTGATTTGATGAAAACCTGGTTACAGTAGTATAAATTATCAGCTTTTTAAGGCATTAAATAACAGCCTTTCCAAGCCTTGTTCAGCCTTCTAGTTTTATGTTTAAAAAAATAATGGAAGAACGCTTCATATCTTATATTTTTATGGGACTGCTTTTATCTTGTTTTGCTGACTAATTGTATTTTCATATTTATATTGTTTTTATAAGTCTAAAAATTGTCTTTGTATTTCGGGATTCGAACCGGCAGTTGCTCATTCACAGGCGTCAACCATACCTACTGGACCACTTAAGCATATGTGACATATGTC